GGGTGTTGAGTTTTGGCTTCAGAAGAATCTTGGTATTGAACAAAATGTTTTCCAAAAATCCTGCTCCTGGTTTCATTTGGAAGAGTGGATCAGCAATCACTTCTAACTACTGTCTCTGTTCCACTTGAACTGATATTCACCTGTTCCTCACTATTTCTTCAAACCATGCTGGTTTTGGAGTGTTGTTTTTCTCCTTAACACAATAGTTGAAATGACACTGACAGAACGAATGAAACACCTCAGATATCGACAGATTCTAATTCATTCATTTGTGCTGTTTGATTTTATTGAAATCATAGGGTGTTAGAGATGAAAAGTATACGCAAAAGGAAGTCCATGAATGCACAGTGTTTACTAAAATGGAAAATGGCAACATTCATGTTTCAAATTTCAGAGCCTTCTATGAATATAAAAACTGTCCTCATAAAGAGCGTATTTTGTTGCAAAATGCTCTACAAACCAGCACAGACGATATTTTGTTCTTTGCTGAATCACAGCAACTTCTGCAGTCACAACTACAGTGGGAAGAACCAAACTGAGGCATCTTGGAAAACTAAAAAAAACCAAGCATATTTAAATCCCATATCTCTTAATACTGAAATGACTGAGTGGAGCAAGAAGGAAGGATTAGACGAAGAAACAGGAGATGTATTGCTTCAAAGTACAAAACTGATACTTGCAAAAAATGACACTGGCATTTTGGAGAGAAACATACTAGCTACTAGGTGGTGCTTTTTTTGGTGTTAATAATAATAATATTGTATCACTGAGTTGTTACAAATGGTTTTCTCTGTGTTTTTCTTTTGTTCTCCAGGTGTAGCGTTCACTATTCAAAAAGGCTGTATTAATCTAGATTAAAGAAGTAAGAAGATCACCTATGAAAGGAGTAGTAAAAAAGGAGTATGAATAATAATTCAGATGAGAAATAAGAACCTGAACTTGGTAGGATTAAGAAGGAGGCAAAGGTGAAAGGCTATAGGAGATTGCATAGAGGAGGTTGTGTAAATCCTGTGAACAGAAGGTTTTGAGAACTTTCTGGTTAATTAGCATGAGTCAAGACGCAGGAGCTTATCACTGGTGGTCGTTGGATGAGTCCACCCATCTCCTGCAGGTTGGCCAGAGACTGTCTACTAGGAAGGCTGGCGGCAGTGCTGGCCACCAGCTGCTTCAGAGTCTGTAACTTGTCCAGCACCATCAGCAGCACCCTGGGGGCCAGTCCTTCCCATGAATACAAGTTGATCTGGTTTCTTCTACAAATGCAGGTACAGGTTGAGTCGAATTTCAGAAGTTAAATTAAAAAAAAAAAAAAAAAAATTACTAATCTGCAATTTAGCTATTAATTTACATTTTCAAAATATACCTAGGAATGTCAAGGACTAGAAAATACTTCTTAAATTTGCTTCTTCCGTTCATTGCTATTCTCCAATATTAAGTTGATATTCCTGTGTACCTAAACTTAGGAAGGGATAGCATTGACCATTGAGTATGGATGTATAAAGAAATGGCACGAGAAGTTGAGTTTAATGGATGCAGATGGCAATACCACAGATGCAGTTTAAAGCAAGGAATAAATGCAGAATCTAGCTGACATTTTAGGCGACTGACATATAAGTAGGCAAAGTGCAATAACCTAGGCCAGAATTTGGTCAGACAACTGGTGTTGTTCAGTTTATTACTTAAAAAAGTTGATTTTGAATACTTTGTGACCACAGAGGAAGTACTCTTTCAGTTCAGTAATGCCCTTTAGTGCTCTGCTGCAGCTTCGGGTTAGTAATGATTCCAGAAAGAACACTACCCACCTGAGCAACACTTGTCTCTCCTGAAACACAAAGAAACATTTGTTTTCCAGACAAGTCCATAGCCATTCCAGCCTAGGCTATTTTGTGAAATCTAGTACGATGTCGAAGCTGTACACCACCAGAGCTGAAAAAAAAATGGTGTCTGCTTATATATTATATTTTAAAGATCCAAAATTAGAGGTAAATGTCTGCTAAATTAACAAAATATTGAATCCTGTTTAGTCGAATTCCTACAACCATCCATACATTTCAAAGAATGTAATGATGCCAACATTTAAAAAATGAATTCTCCTTTCTGAACATGAAAAATACAGAAATTGTTATTACTATCATCACATTTGGAAAGCCTCAAAAAAACCCTCAGCAGTCAACATGATACATCTGTGGGCACACCACATTTTAATTTCTAGACTACATAGGAAATGAAGAGTGAAAAACAATTCTCCATATCCTTTCATAATTTTGTCCAGATAATCTTCAAAGTGCTGTAGTAGAAGGACTATACAGGTTCTAAAATTTTAATTTAAGAGAAAAGTTATAGCCAAGGACAGCTGTTAGCAACCTGAATGGACTGTGTTTTGGCACTGATTCATTGTAATGGACAGGTCATGGTGTTGTCTACTTGCAAGAACTGGGCATTTGGAAAGAACTGTTACAGTGTGCTATGTTTCCAACTCAAGCAACTCTGTGCCATTAGCAAAATACCCAAAAAATAATTCAAAGACACTTGGAAGAAATATAGTGGAATAAAAGCTTCATGCTGAATTATTTGCTGTCAAAATCAGCGGTAAGTCAACATAGAATCCAGGAGGTGTAGTCATTTGTTTTGTTTTTTTCCTTTTTCATTATTTATCCTTAAAGGGGGGGGGCTATCTCAGTTCAAAAAATGTCTTCATGTGTATGTGTAAATATGTGCTATGGATGAAATTCTGCTCTCAGGCTGCAACACCCAGTTACCTTTATCGAGCCTGGTGTGAGCTGTATAACTTTGCTGGTGTTTTGTGCTTGCTTTGCACCATTACTAAGTAGGATCTAGGAGGCCATTCTCACTGTGAGCCATGTCTGGTGTTTGTTGGTCAAATGGGCTGCAAAGCTGGTACCTCTCACCAACAACCCTTGATCCTTCAGAGGGACTTGCGAGCGTCTAATGCTGATCTAATAATACTCATCTCTGGCAAGTTCTTTAAAGTATAAAAAATGTTAAGCAGCAGCAGCCATATCTTTACGGACTTTATTGATACACTTGCCTGGAGCTCTTCCAATTAATCTTCTTTGTTGGGGATAAGTTCCTTCAGTCAAATTTGAACTAAAAAGAGAGAACAACTGAAGTGGCCAGAAAGATTTTTTACAATCTCCATTCCTCCAAGAATTCAGATTTGGATAAAGCAGGTGATACGAAGGCTCTTTTCCTGGTAACAGACACAGATGCTGAAATCTTGATAGTACACATTTAGACAAAAAGTAAAGAAAAGTGATGGCCAGTTGAAAAAACCCACTCACAAAGTTTTATAGATTCACATTGGACCTGTCTGAAACATAAACCAATTCCTTAACTGTCTGTTCCCTTTAGTATTAATTGTGGAGAAGAGAATATCTCCATTAGCTTGAATTAGAGCAAACATATACAATTTATTATTTTGTACTTGACTGGGCGAGGAGTCAGAAGTCAGAGCTCTGCCAGTGTCTCACCGTTAACTCTGCGCAAGCCCTTAACTTCTCTCTGGCTCAACTTTTCCATCTGTACAGTGACTGAGCTATGCCTCGTTTTGGAAAGCACAAATAGGAAACACTCTTGAGCTGTTAAATAGCATGTTAATAACATTTTGAAAGCTACTGTCTGTTTTTCATTTCTCATCACAAGAACATATGATTCCCAAATGTTCTAAAATTCGGAGAGGCTTTCTTATTTTAGATATTAAAAATAAAATGTGGCAAATGGGAATTTCTTCAGTACATCTGTGTGCAGTGCACTAGAGGGCCCTCAGGAGTTAGAAATGGATGGAATGCACTTTTGGAAGGCACATACTTCACAGGACTTTTCATTTCAGAATTTAAAATAGAAGTTGCTGTTGGTTTGGGGGATTTTATTTTATTTTTTTTAAATAACATGAGGTTCATCTAAGTTTATAGCAGTTCATATGCAAACCACCTCTCAGTACAGTTAGCTTCCAAAGAGTATTTAGCTTGCAATGAAATACCTAAATGTGAACCATACTTAAAACTGAAATATGTGCTAGAATACTTTGAGAACGTCAGCTTTTACTAAGTTACTTTTATTAATCTAAGGAGTTTACCAGAACAAAGAACACATCAAGCTGTATAGGTAAGTGGTTTTATATTTTTATCAACATATATACAATGTGAACTTATTTGATCTTTGTTTCTTTGAAAAGATAGATAAGTCATTGTCATTTTATTTGGAAAACTATAACTGGGTTCTATTTATGGTTTCACAAGAGTGAAGAGAATTGAACATCTTTCATGTGTATTTATGAATGTGAACTGTATTCATCTTAAACTAGAGAAATTTAGCATTGCTAATATATTTTTTCTATTAGTGAATGGGTGTGTATTTAACTGCTACAGTTACTGGTGCTTAATATTGTACAATTTACAGCACTTCCATAACATGAGGTTTAGTGAAGACTGTCTCACAAGAAAAAGATTATAACGACCTGGGTTTGACAAGCTTTTCTTCTAATGCTGGAACATAGCTAGCTGAGATTGCCAATTGAGCCTATATTCCATGATTTTAGTGTTTAATTTGTACTGAAATGAGCAAGTGAAAAATATATCCTGGCAAATTTCTAGATGCATACTATCTCATCTGGAACTTCTATCTCTTAAAAATGTAGAACCATAGATGTCATATGTGAGTAATGAAATGAAATGCTGCTACTCTTACTTTTTCAGTTTGCAAAGAAGATACTTCAGATATTTTAGACTACAAGTCAGTAAACTTTGCTGACGTAGCTGGCTTCATTCATTCTCTGAAGCCAATTGCTTCCCCTGTGATGGCTGATAAGAATTTAACGGCTTGAGAAGGTGGAGTGTCAGCATCCTTAGTACTAAACACGTTCCCAGGCATATCAGTAGCCTCTGTCCATCACCCATGCTGGAAGCTATTTGGAAAAGGAGAAGCAGAAATTGGGAAACGGAAATCATGCATCATCATCCTGGCTGGAAAGTACGGAAGACTTTATGCTGTCTTCATCATGTGGATTCACTAGAGAAATGAGCACCTTTGATCAGCCAAGTAAAATCAAAAACTTGTTTGTTTGCTGCCTGTGCCCCCCACGGGTGCTGAGGCTCTGGACTTGCAGGCGCCCAAGGACAAGGAGGAATCTACTAGTGGGCACCGCGTGTGTGATCTACCTGGGATTCCTCGTCAGTCAAGTGGGTCACGTTTTACCGCAGCACAAAGGAAGACACCAAAAGATCAGTTCCAGAAGTCTCCAAGATGCAGCCCAAACTCCTTTTCTGGGCATCCCACTGGATGGCACCCTGTCACCACCCAATTTCCAGGAACCTCAGCTGGGTAGCAATGGGACCTTACTGCCACTCAATGTAATTTATATCACTCTGCGGTCCAAGCGCAGCAAGCCTGCCAATATCAGAGGCACGGTGAAGCCAAAGCGCAGGAAGAAACATGCAACTCCTTTGTCCTACAGGCAACACTTTCCAAAAGTTGCTTTTATGGGCCAGAAAGAGACCTTTGCCCAACAGCCAGGGAGGGCCACGGGTGCAATAGGAGCAGCAATAGCTCCAGAGGTGAGAAAGCACCAACTGGATGAACATGGGCATAAAGGAATGGCAACCAGGGAAAGGGGTCACTGGAGACCTGGGGGGATTTCTGGAGCTATAAAGGCACAGCCCCAGCCTGAGGAAAGCAATATCAGGATTTACAGTGAGAGCTCTCCTCCTTGGCTGAGCAAAGATGACATCCTAAACATGCGCATGCTGGCAGATTCTCGGATAGAGAGCATCCAAGAAGTACCTTCTCGCAAAGCAGTCCTGGTAGTATTTGCAAGAGGTCCCAGCACCACAGGAACTGCTTGTAACCTGGGGCACTGTGGCATCGTCAAAAGACCCCTCGACATGAGCGAGGTATTTGCCTTTCATTTGGATAGGATATTGGGACTGAACAGGAGCTTACCTTCTGTAAGCAGGAGATCGGAGTTTTTCCAAGGTAACGCATTCCTATGGCTTTCATCTGCAGGTGGGGTGCTGAGGTTTCCTTCCCCCTCCCAGGTTAACCACAGGGCAGCAGCCACTTTTAACTCCTGTAAGCCTGAGAACTAACCCTGTCCTTTACAAGGGAGTAAAGCTGGTATCTGTTTGTGATTTCTGCAGTGCAGTTATCCTGTTTGAAGGACGCAGTGCCCCAAAGTTTAGATCAAATACTACTGAGCTGCTGAGGGCAGTAACAATTTCTCTTCCGCAAGAGTCTGGAATGAGAAAAAAAAGAGGGAGTCATCGGTAGACTGTATGACGTTGTTCAGACTGCCTGAAGCAAAACTGGTGAAAAATTCCAGAATATGCTGTGATTCATTGGGAATCACAAAATGTTAGGGATTGGAAGGGACCTCAAAGGATCATCATTTTTTTAAAAAGTTTTCTTATCTTTAAGATTTGACTTTAATAAAATGTTGTTGAAACTGAGCACAAGAATTCACCTCTCAGATAGAAGGAAATAGGATTTGTATTTAGTCAGATACCTTCTCAGAGAGGCAGGGGAACTTCCCGCAGAAGCTTGATGCTACTTTCATGGTATTAATACCTGTGGGAACTGAAAAATTTTTAAAAAGTGCTTCCTCTCTTTGGTAATAAAAAAACCCGGAACTATATTTCAGTGAATCCTGCTGTATGTTTTGAGGTTCATTACACACATCTATATATTATGCAAAGAAATATACACAGTAAATATTTAAATATGCCTTGTTATTTGATTTTTATTCTTTAGTGAAATTAAAGATAGATTTCAGACAAGTAACGTGAGTTAGAAGTAAGTCCATTTCTAACATTGCTATCTTGTTAAATATGTCTTCAGCCTAACTGCTATTTTTGCACAGTCACGAATCACAAACCAAAAGGACTGCACTGGATTTTAATGATTCATTGCTCAAGTAGCTAGCTATGTTTTTGCTGTTCCATTCTTGCTGCTGAAACTAGCTTATACAAAATACTTTTAAATCAGTCTGTTTCTTAAAAAAAAAGTAATGCAAAAATTACTTTCTAAAGTCTGATTGCAGAAAGAGGACCCAGTGATCTCTGATTTCTTCCTGCTTTGTAAACCTTCCTTTTGGCAGCCTGTAAAACAATGTGAATGAACCTCGAGGAACAACAATTTGGAGGCTTCTGAATATTATTCCTACTTTCAGAGCATGGAAGATACATTATGCCTAGTTTATTTTTAGGAGTAAGATTTATTGCTATCGAGCTGTCATAAGGCATTAAGGTAGTTCAGCTGGAGGAACTCTGCATAGCATGGCTGTGGAAATGACAGACTGCAAGCCTCTGAAAACCGCTATTAGGCTAATTGTGCATCATGTTGCTCAGTCTGTCACCTCACAGTATATTTTGGTCTGTCTGGGACAGAGAGCATCATTCTGTCCTCTTTAATTTTCTCGTCCTCATAACTGGCTATGTTCCTATAGCAAGAAGAGTGTTGCTAAGTGATGAGAAGAGAAATAACATCATTTTGGTCTCACTTCATTTTTTTTTCCAGCTAAAGGGTGAATAGAGCATTTGGAACAGTTACTGTACCTTGTCAGTCTCCATTTCTAGCCTGGAGCTCAGATGCCTAATATCTACTTGAGCTCGTTACTATTTACGTGCTTGTGTTTGGCATAATCTGGAAAACATCTGTGTTGAGAAAAGGAGCAAAAATACATTCTTAAAAATAATATGAATGATTAGTGAGCTCATTTCTATAACTCATATGCATTTAAGTTAAGGTTAGGTGGGCACTGTAAAGTTTTTTACAGGGCAGCTTGCGTGAATTGTAGTTGCTTATATGGGAAAGAAAGCAATGCAGGATTAGAGACTGCATGTGTGTATGAATGTACGCAATTTCTGGGCTGACATATCTCTCTCCACGACACATCCATGTCCACGACACATCCATTTAGCTTGCCTCAGTTGTGATCTGATCTAACAAGACATGTTTGATGTAGCATTAAAATCTTAAAAAATGGGCTTTTCAAAACTGTCATTCATTTTGTCAAAAGTAAATCCCTGTACAGGTTCTGTTTCCCCTATTCCCACAAATCTCCCACAATTTTTTTTTTTTTTTTGAAGTCTAGCAAAATACTGTATGCCAGTTCTCTGTCTGCTGCCCTTGCCTTCCCTAGTTAATCGTATGCCCTTTTAAGTACTAAATGTGATTTTTTTTTTATGGTTTATCTTATTTTTCCATTATGGATGGAAAAATCAAGTATAATAACTCTTTGCCTCAGATTTTTGTAATGAATCAGCTGAACATAAAAAGCCTGGGGAGTACAGGTGGGCAAAGCCCTTTTGGGTTCAGTGTTACAGGCTAAAATATCATGATTCTGGACATAAGCAAGCAGTCATTCATTACTCCCATTGCTACCTACGAGGCATGAAACATGTTGAGACCAAAGCACCTATAAACAAAGAAAGATCAGCCTGTAAACCAGAAAGAAATAATCATAAAACTCTGTCTATTGTGGACAAAATGAAGACTGACCTTTGTGTGTCTGAGTTTTGGATGGTCATGTTAATACTATAAGACTGAGAATCTTCATTATTTGATCACTCTGAGGAATAGGGGAGACATAAGTGACTTTGCTTGGTGTCATAGCACTACCTTAATTAATTTTCACAAAAGCTAAGTAAAATCACTGCACATATTGCCTCTAGTTCAACAGCAGCATTTTCAAGGTAGGATGATGCCAGTGTTTGAGCTACCACTGGAGTCACATAGGCTGGAACAGACTTGCTCCTGTGTTGCACATGACAGCTGCAGGCATAGGACTCCAGCTCCTTGGATTGTAGCAACAAGGCTGAGTTCTTTACTCAGCTTTTGGTACAAAAGCCACAGCTATTGCTATGCAGTTTTGTTGCATCACTGGCTGAAGGCCTGAACTCCTGGATACTGACAACCAACCCTCTTTCCCCTTGGTCTTCTGATATCATAAATTCAGCTAAATATGTTTTATCCTGTGCTGAAAAGAACAAGCACAGGTGTACTCCATTCAGTTGGGCTTTTTTTAGCAAAAGATTGAACCCACTGTTTGCCCAGAACCACTTTTTTTCATAAAGCATGCAAGAAACTTTCTTTGAGTAACACCTTTCATGGTTGGTTTAGTGCAAATAGAAGAATGACATGTTGTAGATAGCTCCACTAGTTGTACTTGTCGTTTTGCTTTACTGGCCTCTACACGATGATAAATCATCATCATATTCCAGGTGCGGCACTGGTGAGGCCGCACCTGGAATATTGTGTCCAGTTTTGGGCCCCTCGCTTTAAGAGAGATATTGAGCTCCTGGAGCGAGTCCAAAGAAGGGCAACTAAACTGGTCAAGGGGCTGGAAAATAAAACTTATGAGGAGCGGCTGAGGGAGTTGGGGCTGTTTAGCCTGGAGAAGAGGAGGCTGAGGGGAGACCTGATTACGGCCTATAAATACTTGAGAAAAGATGGTGGGGAGTTAGGGGAAGGGCTCTTTACATTAGTGATGGGAGATAGAACAAGAGGAAATGGGCATAAGCTTAGTCAGGGGAGATTCAGGTTGGATGTTAGGAAGTATTTCTTCTCTGAAAGGGTTGTCAGCCACTGGAATAGGCTGCCCAGGGAAGTGGTTGAGTCCCCATCCCTGGATGTGTTTAAGAATAGGGTGGATGAGCTACTTGAGGATATGGTTTAATGGGGATTAGGGATGGTTGGACTCGATGATCTCTAAGGTCTTTTCCAACCTCGAAATCTATGAATCTATGAAATGGAGCCATAGGTTTTCCATGTTACACCCTGCGCTGTCAGTCTGCCTTGCCACCCCACCAAAAGTTACGAAAAAGCAGGCAAAGATACTAAGAATCGCTAATGTCAGGGCAAATAAGAAGAACCTAACACTGCCTTATGCATTCAGAATGCTCTAAAATGCTTCAATGTTTCTGTCCTGTTTTCTACCAACCCAGACAACTTGCACCAGTGTTGTACCTCTCAGAGGGGTACCAGAGGGCACATTTCCAGTGTTTTGTTGGGTAGAGAAGTTAATATATGAGCAATAATGCAGTCCACAGTCTAGAGAGCAACTGGTGCACATTTCATGCATTCCTTAATTCTGACATCCATATGAGCACAGGACAGAAACATTGCAAATAAAATGCAGGGGAAAGAAAGAAAGAAAAATAAATGGCCTAACTACTTTCTGCTTCTGTCTTGTACTTTTTTCCTCAGAACTTAATCTAAAGCTCTGAAATTCAAGTAATGCTCTGTCAGTCTCTCTCACCTTCCCACACTAAATTACTCCCTCCTGCTAATATGTGGGCAACTAAACTGTTTTTCGAATGTGGCAGTGGTAAGCTGTACTGCCCTACAGTGAACAATAAGGAGAAAGTGCTTCAACTACCTCATGAAAGATTTACTTCTTTTAGTGATGGTCTCATGGGCACGTTTGAAAATATTTTCTTCCAAGAAACTTAGAAAAAGTGCTGTAGGTACAAGTTAGAGCACAAGATGGAAGAGCAACATTTGCAAGAGCATCTTTGTGGTTCGGAAGCAGACAGTCTATTTTTGAAGTGATGTGGTGTGTGGATATTCAAGGTGACACCTATGTTGAAGAAGCCATGCAGTGATACATTACCTAACTGCGCATGAAGCCGTTTGAGTACCTTGAGGTAGTCTAGTCTCAGCAGCCTGAGGTTTCACCTGTGTTACCTCATTCAACTTAGGATATCTCGAGCCAGTAACTGCTAGTGGCCTAAGAAATTTTTGGAAATATTTTGGCATTTGGGAATCTATAAGAATTACTTGGAAGCTAGTTCTGACATGAGTTTTGAAAAATCTTTCCCATACAATTTCACAGATAATCTTTAAGTAGTCAAGTAAATGTATCAATCTAAGATAGCAGAAGAAAATAAAATTAAGTCAGTCAGCTTTGGGTAAGATTCAGCACAATGCAGCTGCAGCAGCTGAAAAGCAGTGGCCCTTTGTGTTAATATATGAAGCTAATTAGGAAAGAAGCACATGTAGATCACACTGGACTTATTCTGAAGAGTGCTCAATCTCCTCAGTTTTGGCTGCACCAAGCTGGAAGCTCTGATTCTCGGCCAGGCCTCACTTTTCACCATTCAGTTAACTTCAGCCCCATCCTCACAAGGTTTGAATCAGGAGAGCTTCACTGGTATCAGTAGGGTCATGCCAATTCATGCAGCTATGAATCAGACCCCTTATCTGCTTTAATTCAGCATCTTCATGTTTTTCCTGCAAGTGTCAAAACTTTGACAAAAGTTTGAGTCACTGCTCTTTACTGAAGCTGCTGTTTCATATTCCTGTAATTCAATTTATATTATGGAGTTGAAAGATTTTGTTTTGGCACATCTTTTCTGCTCCTATTTCCTCTGAAATGCAAACACTTCCTGTATTTAGCCTTGGTCTTTTAAAAATGTTTTTGTATCTTAATGGAAACTGGCAAGATATTATTCATGTTTTTCAAGTATTTATATTACTATTGTTTATCATGTCCTTTTTGGGTAGATAGGAGATGTTTGTTTTGTTAAAAGAGCGTTTATGTATTTGGTTTGTGAAAGAATTCATGAATAGTTACATAAGCTGTTATTGGAGATATAAAAATAATAGATCAGACTTGGCCCTGAAGAGAGCTGTCCTCTTTTTGTGACAATTTGCAATGCTCATATAGACTTTCTCCAACTGGCTTGTAAAAGAGGCTTAGCCAATAGTTGACCTGACTTGGCTAAAGTCATCCACAGTGTAGGTGACAGAGCAAGAGAGATGGGGAAGCAGCTAGGATTTCTCAGACTAATTTCCTAAATACTTATTCAAGCATCTCAGTAGGAAAAGCCTGAATTTTCAGGAGCACTCAGTGCTTTTTTATTTTTTTTCAGCGAATGAAAGCGTGGAACATGGTGCTGATAAAAGAAGTACTGATCCTAGCAAAGGAGAGATTGATGTTCCTAATGAAACACTGGGCAACTGGGAGGGAAGTTAAAGAGATAGTGGAGCTGTATGTTGGGTTGACTTGAGAAGGACTACCTTGTGTAGAATCATAGAATGGTTAGGGTTGG